CATTTGCCTGAAGATGTCCTTGTGTTTCACTTAAGGACAAAGATAGTGATCACCTGCTGAAAATGTGAATGTCTAACTTGAAGGATTATAATGCATACAATGACTTGGCTTTATGTCTCTCATTTTTAGAACACTTTGTTATTTTGGTAAATGAGAATTATACATCATTTAAAATTGTCATCATTGATTTGATTCATTTTTTTCTCCTTATGAGGAGCAGGAGTTAATAGTCTGCCCCTTTGTTGACATAAGATATTGTTTTAAAAATTACTTTAACTTGTCTAAATCTTGGAGACTCATTTAATAAGTTATGGCATATCTACAAGCAAGAATAATCTATTGCCAATAAAAGTCAGGATTCAAAGACTAATGACAAGGGAAACTGTTCATGATATATTGTTTAAACATTAAAAACTGGTTAAAAGTGGAATGGCTAATATTGCAAGTTTGTAAAAAATAGAGATACACAGAAAAAAAGACTAAGATATAATAAAGATTTTAACACTGCTTGTCCTTGGAGGATGGAATTACAAATGAATTTTTAAAATTATTTTTGTTGAACCTTTGGGAAAATTTCACTTTTTGTACAATGGACACAGATGGCTTTTGTAATCAGAGAAAGTAAGTTGTTAGTAAAATTATTTTGACTATTTTTCTTGCCTTCCTGGGGATCTGAGACTCAATTTCTTGATATTAAGCACAGAGCGGACCTACAGAGAAAACTCAGTGAAATCACCAGGTTGCTGCTATTGTCTGATGCCAGTAGGGAATGAGTCAGTTTTGCCCTGTTTCTCCCACCAGGTTCCAGTGTTTCAGGAAGGTCCCTTATTGACATCAAGGTCAAACAGGAAGGTCCCTGATTGACATCAAGGTCAAACATCGAAGTGTGGAGGTCCGACTATTTACCTGGGTTCTGCAGGGCTGGCTAGATTCAGCTGCAGGGGTGCCTGCATTGGCTAGGACCCAATCTGTGGGACTGGTGGGACCCTGTGGTTTCTGGGGGAGAGTTCAGGAGGGTGTGCAAGGGTCAAGTGCAGAAGCCTTGTACAGTCTAAAAACTTAGAGGATCAGGGCTCCAGGCAAATAGAGTGGGGCTCTCAGAGGGCTCAAGTCCCAGAGGGAAGTGTGACCAGAAAAAGTGATTAAACAGAACATCTAGTTGACAATTAAGATAATAAGCCAGGTGTAAAGGAAGGCCTAATCAAGAACGGATAGACACAGGTGAATTAACTTACCAGACTCCCCAGGTGAGTTAAGAACTGGAAGAAAAATGTGTGTTTTCCAAGTGTCCACTAGGTGGCAGACCCTTTCCTACTCTAAAAATTTGAGTCTAGTCTAAGGGACTTCCTGATACTTTGGTTTTAAGAGAGGGCTGGTTAAACACTGGTTCCCAGATCCCTTTCCAGAGCTTCCAACTCAGTAGTCTGGGGTGGAGCCTGAGATTCTGCATATCTAAGAAGCCCTGGCTGCTGCTAGTGCCACTGGTTGGTGAACTGTGTGCACTGCTGAGTACATCATCTCAGACTTTGGGAAGGAGGAGGCGGGCAGGAGGAGAAAGTGGTCCTCATGGCCACACTGTCAGTCCAAATTGTGACAAAACCCCCGGGGATGGGTAGTGTGGAGATAGAAGGTGGCTTGAGGAAGGCAATAGGGCCACTTGCTTCTTGCTGGAAATAGCCTCTGGTACTAGAGCAGACTCAAATTGTGAGCTCTGTGGCAGAATGTAAGGGCTTCAGAGATCTTATTCTAGTTAAAGATGTTAGCAACCAATTTCATGAGAAGGACTGTAGCAGATAGGAGCACAGGCATATGCAGATTAAAATGAAAGCAGAAAATAGACCAAAATGAAAAACAAAACATTAGATACATAACAAAAAATAAGCTTAAGGAAAAACATTAAGAATACTATAAAGCATAAATCAGTGATTCTCAAATTATTCCTAAAGAAATATCCTGTTCATTATGGCTCAATACATGGCTCTACTGCACAAGGCTTTACATAGCTCTGGCCTCATATGACTGACAGGTAGATATGATGATATCCAACTGGTCTATATCCTAGTCAGTGAGGGGAGTCCACTGATCATGCATTTGAATGTCAGTGGTAATGTCAAATTGCTATAAACGTTTTTAAATCTTATTCTCAGTTTCTGTACTTGCATCAATAGAGTGGTAAAAGTCATAGTCTGCAGAACGATCTCTGTTCACATATCATGCTTATAGGTGCACTGGTCTATGGCTGGATTACTGGTTTGGGAGATGGGCCTATTATACAAAGTCAAACAGTCAATTTGTTCTTTTGACTCTTGCAGTTTAGATCCTTAAGTTTTTGGCTGCTTGAAAGCTATTTAGTTCTTATCAGTTCCATCTGGGGTCCCTGAAATGGAGCTATCTGAATGTTCTTTTAGCTCTGCTTCTATTTCTTCATGCTTGGACATCAATGAAAATGTCCCATGCATAGTAGTCACTCAATAAATACTGACGGGATGAATGAATGGATTTATAGCCCAAGACTGAGATATCAAGCATGCTTGGGGGGTAGGCAGAGATATCCAGGAAATCAATGCCCATTGTAGAGGGACATCAAAATAGAACTCTCCTCGCAGTGACTTTAGCTGGTGAGCAGAGCGCATGGAGAAGAACCAAGTCCAAAAAGGAAAGAATGACTAATTGCATTATTTCCCTGGCCTCATTGGTAAATACAGGTGTGTACTGTGAATGAGTGAAATTCAGTTAATCAGGCTCTTGGGCCATGTCAATGCAGGCTTCCTGGTGGCATTTTCATATTGAACCAAGGCATTGGCTCACGTCCATGCCAAGGTGAATCCTGGTTAGTCTGAAAACTACAGGAAAGTTTACCTTAGTCGTTTTCCCTTCAATACTAGAATCTTGAGGAAGAACTTTTAACAATTTCTTTATAGTGTCTTATTAAATAATTCTCTAATTTTCAGCAGGAGAAAGCTGAATAAATGCAAAATCAACTTTACACTCCCTGAAATGTCATGTCCCACCCCACACTCATTTGTCCTACCCTCCCTCCCCCTTCCTCGCCAGGCAGGCGCACAGGGCAGCCCAAAGAATTGATGTGATGTAATGATGCAGAACTAATAGTAATGATCACAGTAATAATGATAGCTGCTATTTAGAGAGCACTATATGAGAGGTATTATGCTAAACGCTTACAAACATTCTTATTTAATTTTATCAACAATCACATAAGTTTGCTTGAGGACAGAAATGTGAAGAGCTGGAATTCTAGCCCAAATATGTCAGACTCAAAAATGTGGTCTGAATGCCTGTATTATACTTATGGTCTTGAATCCAAACAAAGACTCTTTCCTTTTGCTTTTAAGGTATATTAACAAACTGAAAAGTTACAATGTAGGGAACTCTAGATACTCAAGGCCAATATTCCTCATACATGATCAAGACAGAGATGGTCCTATAATTGAAAGAATAAATGAATAAATATGGGTACCAACTGTGAATAAATAAAATTTAGTTAGTGAGGTCCTTAGTGAGGTTCACGAGAACACTACACTTTCTTTTGGCATTTACTGTAAACCAGGGACTGACGTAGTTTTGACCCCGGCTCATAATATTTGAAAAAACAATCTGGATATAGATGCTGAGACTAAATCTCAATTGTATTTCAAAGAAATGGGTACATATACACAGAGACACACCTGCCTATACCTGACTCCCTTGAAAAAAACTTCTGTTGCTCTTCTTCTAAATATCCTGTTCAATTTCTGAACTCTTTTAAGTAATACAGATAAGGGACAAACACAAATCTTCTCAAAGAGAACATGGATAGTTTTGATTGTTCTCCAGTCAGAGCTTACACCACTATTTTATTATTATTTTATTATTAGATGATCGTAGTTTCATCTGAAACAATCTACACACTCAACTTCCCAGATCAACTGGCAGTTCCAAGGAGCTTTTGAAGGGTTTCCAGAGAAGCTAAAGGACCAGCAGTAGTTTCCTTTGAGAGATAAATAGTATCATGCTTTTATGTTCAAGTTAGAAGAGTTTGAAAAGTCCTTCATGGCTCATATATAGGAGATTTTACAAACTTTTATTAATATCTTGTACGTGATTGCCCAATTTTCAAATACCCAACTTTAAGTTTTATCATGAGTCAAAATCCTTACAAGAAAAAACAAAAGCCTTTTTAAAGAAATGCTAAATTGAAACACAATGGTAAGTTACATGAACTTGGACATTTAAAGATGTAAATTAATTTCGTGGACATTTAAAGACTAATTTAAGAAGCAAAGATTTTGGGAGCCCTAAGACAATAAAGCGATCAGCATGAGGACATCTGTCAGGGTGGAGGTGACGTGGGGTGAAGACCGGTTAAGTCTAATGCAATCAGCAACTTAGGCCAGTTTAACATATTTTTTATGAGGTGACAACCCCCTAAAACCATAATCTCGCCTTTCAGGATGATGACACAAGGATTTAATGGGTCAAAAAAAAACAAAACAAAACAACCCAACAAAACAACAAGAAACAAAACCCAACTTAAAACCTCCCTTTTGAATGTGAATTGTCTATTTAGTTTAAAGGTAGACTTTGAGATCTCATTAGCTGCTGGCACAATCAGGAAAAGAAATATATACACACACACACACATACACACATTTCAAAACAAGTACTTATATAATGATGGCAATGTCTGTTCTATTCAGATTCAAAAATAGAAAAAGCCAAAACTAACAACTCTTCTGTTAATTAGAGAAACACAAATGTCTTCTTCCCAAGTACCCCAATACAACATGAAACTGAAATTAACTGCTTTCTTTTGGAACCCACTTATTTATTTATGTTTAAAAGAAGATTTGGGGATAAAGAAACTTCATCACAGAATTGCTGGAGAACACACATAGGCACTCCCCATTGGAATACAGGAAGACCGAGCACACAGTTACAACAGAGATTTTTTTTTTTCCCTTGGTGAAACACATGATATGGTCTAATAAAAATCTGGTTACCTTTACATTTCTTCTCTTCTGTTTGGAAGGTCTGGGCACTTGGGATACTCTGATCATTCACATCATCATGGTCCAGGTGGAATATTGAGCTAGTCCAAGTGGTCTGGATGAGATGTGGCGAGGACTGTTCATTTTTCAACGCGCTGTGCCTCTCCGAATGGCTCTTCCTATGCAGGCAGGCTTCAGACATTCCTACTAGCTTCCAGTCGTGTTCTTGGTCTGGACAGTGTTTCGGTTTGTCCCAGGCTGGAAGGCCATTTTCTGGAGGGTTGAAAAATACAAGATGATGAGCTGTTGGCATTGTCAAGACTTTGTTGAGATGCAGTGCTGGGAAGCAAGTTGTTTCTCAGTTCTTTCAGGCTGACAGTATTCACATGCATCTTCGCTTGACGGCAGTGATAAGATGCAGAATTTGTCAGCCTTGGGCGTGTAGCCACCGCAGTTGGACCGCCTGTCAGAGGAATCAACATGTTCCCCCTTATTTTTAGCGCCTATAAGATGTAGGTTCCTCCCTGGGAAGGCTGCACTTTCTCCAGTCTTGCCTCCACAGCAATGGCCCGAGAGCACGTTTACACCAATTCACGTGACTGCTTCGGTGACCATTTGAGGTCTGGAGGGTCAGAGCTGGTCGTGAACACTTTTGAGATACTTAGGATACCAAACATCCAGGATTCAGCCTTGTTTGACTTGGGTTTTATCACAGGCTGACCTGAGGGACACCCTGGTACTTAAGTGGGACTTGTTCACGTGGCTACACCGAGTGACAATTCTGTTTTCCTTCTACCTCTGATGGCTTAAAAGAAGGAGGCTGGATCTTGTAAGTGGTTTCAATGTAGTCTCAAATTGGCACTGAGATCCAATAAAGGACAGCAGGTGGTACTTGAGTTGTGGGGTGAATGAAGGGCTCCAGTGGTAGACCCCTTTGATTGAGGTACAGGCAGTTAATTATTTATGTAATTATGGTTTTTTTTCTATTCAATTGATAGGGACTTAAAAGTCAGTCCTCTAGAAAATGGGGAGAAAAAGAGGAAAACTTTCTCACACTAACCTTCTGTAGTGGTGAATTTTACCTCCTTAATATCTTTACTGTACATGGATATAAAATAGAAAGTAAAAATGAGCAAGCTAATATGTATATTTGTATTTGCATAGACATTAAAAACATAATCCATCTGGTCATCCATATTTCTAGAAATTCTTAGGCTGCTGTGAAAATGAGAAAAATTATAATACAAACACAGTTCTACTTTTAAAGTGATCACATACAGTGACTGAAAGGCTATAATTTATAAGTAAGTTTTTTAATGCTAAATTTACCAAAGGACCATAGATACCCATATTAGAAAGATAAGTCCATGCTGATCCCTGTGTAGCACTGGAAATTGTAAGCTGTTTTCAGACATTTAAAATGATTTTTAAATTATGTAACACCAGGTTAAAAACCGTTCAGGTTTCCCTAGTGCCCTCTGTAAAGCTCCTAGTTGTCTTCAGCTGACATCGGTTAGGATGGTTTCTCTAAAAGTGCAATCTACTCTCTCAGTCCCTTTTGGAAGTTATATTTACCCTGCTGGGTCTTCAGGTTCCTATGTGGAAATCTGGTACCCATGTACTCCATTCCTACTCCTGAAGCAGACTGTGAACAACCATAACAACAAAGTCACAGCATGATTTCTTTGTTGCAGTAAATGGAACTGCTGTGGCTTGAAATATCCTACCTTGGCCTGTAAGCAACAATTCCTTTTACTTAAAGATTTTATTTATTTATTTTTTAGAGAGAAGAGAAGGCAGGGAGAAAGAGAGGGAGAGAAACATCGATGTGAGAGAGAAACAACGATTGGTTGCCTCTCATACACACCCTAACTGGGGATTGCTCCTGCAGCCCAGGCATGTGCCCTGGCCAGGAATCCAACCAGCAACCTTCCTCTTTGTGGGACAACCCCCAAAACACTGAGCCATACCAGTCAGGGTGCCACAATCCCTTTTAAAGAAGTCATACAATATAATAGCTTTTGGATATGACATTTGCTCTTATTCAGAGAAGAGCTGTGAAAATTTACTCTGTATGGAGGGCTATGCTAGGCATTGTATGAGCTCAGTTAAATAAACATGGGTCCTTTCTCCTAAGAGTTTATATGGCATTCTTCAATGCATGGTCTGGACTCAACCGTGCCAGCTACTGGTGCAATTACAGGCATTCATGCTCACAATCCATTAAAAGAAAACAGATTAAGATCTTGGGAGGCTGTATTGCATTTCAGACTAAACATATCTTTGTAGAATCTATTCAAGTACCTATTATCCATGAGGGTTTGAGGTGTTCATGAGCTACATATAAAGTTACTGAATGCAAGAGTTAATTCTGCACCTAAAGAGATTCATTTACTTCTACAGACACAAAAAGCTTTCTCACCCATGAGTGTTCCTGCAATGTCTACTGTACCTTCTGGGACTCTCTCCGTCCTTGGCAAATTGCACCCTGTAAAGCTCCATTTGAAGCAATGTTAAAGTTATCACACTGTTTTGTAAAAACTCCAATATTTCATTTATTTTATGCAGAAAAATTTAAAATTTGGTGTTCATTTCCCTGCTGGAACAGAAATTAAGAAATACAGGGAGACTTGGTGGTCAGTGCCCCCTAGTAAAGGGAGCTAGTGAACGTGCTTGGATAGACATACCCAAAAGGGCTCTGCCCAAGGGGACAGTTCCTCCTTAGAGTACAGCCTAACAAAATGCGCTCAGCATTTCCCCTGGGCCAGCAAGGGTGGGTTTTTTCCTAAGTAAAGGGGTTGTATTAGGGGTGAGGCAGGGGATAGGATTGCCTTCCATTTTCCTAAGAAAAGAGGCTGAGGTGGTTTGGGAAAAGGGCTTCATTCACTGGAGGCATTTACGAGGTCATAAATACTGTCTGTAATTACATTCATGATAATGATGTTCAGTTGCTTAATTGGCAGGCTTACAGGTTGGGGACACTGCTGGGAAACCTGGGGACTGAGAAGTTCTGGTTGGGTCACTGGGAAACTTTAGAGGGATTTATTTAAGGAACACTCTGGATTCCCATCCTCGCCAAAACTGGGGGTGCGGGGGGGCCCATATAATTCCTATCCCATCCTCAAGGTGGGAAAAGGCACCTCCTACACCAGGCTCCTTAAATTCTGCCCACTGGGTATGCTGTTCATTGGGACAAATGTAAGTTACCTCTGCATACATTTACTTGGCAACAATGGTTTCCACGAATTTCCTTATTTCTATGTCTAATGCTTAGATCCTTTGGTTCCCCCCAGATTCAAACCAATGAGATATATTTTTCAGAGGGACTAAAATATCAAGAAGTTAAGCCAGCAATTCTCAAACTTTGATGAGTGTCAGAATTACCTGAGGTGCTGTTAAAGAACACAGAGACCAGGCTTATTGAAGTTGAATGGGGCCTGAGCATTTGTGTATTTACTAAGTTCCCCAGATGATTTGGATAAAACAGAGCTTAAGATACACAGTGGTTAGAAAATCTAAGGTAAGAAAACAAATTATTGGCAAGTTTTGGGTAAGCGTGCAATCTTCTTCTCAGACTCTAACGTTTTACACAGCTTTGGAGTAAATGCGTAGTATTATTAAAAATTCATCAATTGTTTTGAAATCTATTGCATTAAGCAGTAAAAGTCAGATGTTAACTGTATGGATGTAACTAAACCTCACTCAAAAAGCCTGTTGTTTTGAGCATTGTCAGTAATACAATATACACAGTAGTAGAAATACTTTTTTTTTTTAAAAAGGGGGGACTCTAAAAATGATCACATCGCGTTAAGCACATGAAGTATAAATCCTTTGCTCTTTAATGGATCCCAGCAAACATCTTTCTTTCAATACTTCATATTCTAGACTAAGACTCTTAGGCAATTTAATTTGTCAGTTATGATGCAAATAATAAGCAAGTAGAATCAAAGAAAATAATAAGGTAGGGACATGTGAACTATTACTGGAGTAACTTCTATACACCAGCCCCTATGTCTGCAGGGAGTTTAGACAGGAATGAGTGAGCCTGCATTAGATGCCATAATTCTAGTGGCTGTGAATGATGCAGCACTCCTCCAAACGGTTCTTGTGCAAAGGAGAAACAAACATAAATCTCATTAACATAACGACCTACAGCCTATCTCTGGAAATTTCATTAAAGATAATAAAAGAGAAATCTGTCCATCAAAAAAAGGAGAATTATATTAAAATATTCAAGTATTTCAGGACACCAAAGCGAGCTGACACCTCAGAAAAAAGCCAAGGCAGAGGAAGTAGGATTACGACAACAGGGTCAGAAAGGGTCAGCTGAGTAGGCAGGGATTTCAGGGCACTCGTTGGAACAGTGTTGACTTTGCATTAAAAGGCCTTCAATTTTAGGTATTGAGACCCCAAACCATATTTTCTATTAGGGCAATGTATATGAAAAATGCTTTACAAACTCAGAGGATGTGTAGAATTGTCACTGTATAGCATTGGGCTATTAAGTATGATGTCTCTAATTTCTCAGCCTATGTACGTATCAACCTATTTTTATTTGTGGAGTCATGTAGAACTGCAGACTAATATTTGGCTGATACAGAGCTAAACACTTAAAAAAATTCATCCTCACAGGAGGACATTTTTTTCATTGCTTTTTTAGAGAGAGAGAGAAACACCAATTGGTTGCCTCCCGTATGTGCCCCGACCAGGGATCAAACCCACAATCCAGGTATGTGCTCTGACTGGGAATCAAACCCGTGAACTCTTGGTTTACAGGCAATGCTCCAACCAACTGAGCCACATGGGCCAGGGTTGAGCTAGACTTTTATTCATCTTCATGAATATCCCCAGAAATACATAGCAGTATACTGCTTGAGTGACAAGGAACCTAAAATTCAGAGCACTTCATCTGCCCTTTTATATCTTTTATATTGGTTAAGTGATTCGTCTCATTATTTGACTTAATGAGTAGCCATTGGCCTACTAATAGCTACCATTTGATTAGTACTTTGAAAGTTCTTTATTAACTGAATTTATTGTCTTACTCAATTTTCCCAGTTACTCATTTATATTCACCACTGGTCTCCCAGCTTTCACTCTCAGCCACCAACAATCCATTGTCCGTGCAGCAGCCGGAAGAAGCTTTTAAAAATGTACATCAGCCCTAGCTGGTGTGGCTCAGTGGACTGAGCGCCGGCCTGCGAAACAAAGGGTCGCAGGTTTGATTCCCAGTGTAGGGCACATGCCTGGGTTTCAGACCAGGTCCCCAGAAG